CACCAGTTAATCTGGCTGATGCTGTTAGCACCACAAACGTTGACCTAGATAAAATATGTAGGTGGAACAACTCCAACGGTCCGAAAATCAACCCAAAAAAAACTTAGGTAATTGTCGTTGGAAGTTTGAGAATGATCTCCAAAATTGACTGGACAAAACTGCCTCAATCACTTGCAACGGCACACTTATTCCGTAAAGTGATAGGGTCAAACACCTGGGTATTTACATTGATACTACCTTATCTTGAGGACCTGATTTACAAGAGCTGAGTCGCAAAATGTTTGCTGCTGTAGGCTCTTTGTGCCGACTTCGCAACTTTCTACCTATTCCAACCAAGATTGCTCTTGCACAATCCCTTCTTCGCCCCATCCTTGATTATGCTGATGCCAGCTTTCTAGATCTTACTGAAGACAAATTGAATAAGCTTGAGAGACTCCAAAATCTCTGCATAAGATTCATATTTGGACTTCGCAAATATGATCATGTAGAAACATGATCATATTTGCGCAGAAAATCGCAAGAAGCTCAAGTAGTTACCCATTCGCCTTCGCCGGAATGTATTCTTTCTCTTCTCTATAGTATTCTATTTAATCCTTTAACTCTACGTTACCTCAAATCATGATTTACGTTCTTGAATGACACACACACCAAACTGTTGAGATCGTCAGAGAACCTATAACTAAAAATGCCGGGACATTCCACTAAATTCCTCGACGCCTCCTCTGTCCAAGCGGTTCGGTTGTGGAACGCCCTACCGGTCGCAATCAGAGGTGCAGAAACACTTGCCTCCTTCAAGAAACAAGTGAAAGAATTCTATCTGGGAGACGTCAATGTCAATTAACTTCTACAAAGTCGACAAGGTCATATTATTTCTTATAATATATGTATTTAGAACTTATAAATCACACGTATTTATTTAATTATATGTATCTGACACCACCAGCCATGTTCAGCACATAGTATATTCCTTCTAGTATGTTATATATTCACCGTGGACCAACAGATATATACTTTGTGTAATTATAATTTTTTATAGTTATGAATATACTACTTTGATTTCATGTTCTTTTTTATTTCCTAATACACCAGCCACTACCCAATACCTCCTCGCCTTCATGTTTTCTCTCCATACCACGGTTGCCTGTAAGAGATTGCCTCTGAGGGATAAGGCCACCACTTTTACATACCTAGTTTAAGATAATTATTGTATATTTAATTCCGGTGTACAATAAAGCGCTATATTATTATTATTATCTGTTTAAAATATAAGGATAATATCTTTTTCTTGTACACACAATAAAAAAAGGGACAGTAGGGGAAGTAACAAGAAAAGTTTGGGGCAAACTCATAAAACGGGCAAAAATCGAATAAAAAGTAGGCATTTCTAAAAAGGGGGCAAATCTCCATGAATTCCTCTGGTCGTTACATTTAGGACAAAGGCAGAGGGGGGGAAGAAACCAATCAGACCAATATAACGGTCTGTTAACATCTTGAATTTGGTTCTTAAACAATCTCATTGAGTATTTATTTAGGATAAATTAGTTTTTAATTCATTAATTTTCCTTTTTTAGCTCATATACAACTAAATCTTGAAAATGTGTGATCTAAGTCTTTTCGTCGTAAATATTTCGTCGATTTTCACCGTGTGGTGACGGATTAAGAATACAGTGTGTCACCACCTGTAGATGTCGTACCGACTCTGCAAAGAGAAGGAAAACTTGAAATAAACCATATGTCCAGCAGTGAACTGTTACAGGCTGTTGATGTGATGTGTGATGTTAGTGAGGTTACCGGCGCCCAAGACTCCCTTTTTGTCTGTGGGGAAATCCCCTCGGTTACCACCCACCGGGGGTTATGTCGGGCCTGGACCCATCAAAAATCGCGAGCCATCTCGGGTACCAGTAGCTGATACTCAACAGTGGGCATCGCACTTGTGACTCTCGAGTTGAAGGTGTCCACAGGCGGCAGTAGTCAGTTACCTTCAGGACCCGTTTGCCACTTATATCATAGAAAAAGTATGTTATGTTTTTAGTTGATAATTTGATAGATCATGAAACAACAAATTATTGACTTATTTTTATTTTATTTTACTAAAGAGAAGATAATAATATTTTGACTGCCTCGGTGGAGCAGTGGTAGCGTATGCGACTGCTGTACTGAGGTCTCATGTTCGATTCCCGGGTCGGACCAAATGTTTCTGTGATCTGCAAATACTTGTTTCGGCCTTTGGGTGTTTTCTATGTATAATATGTGTGTATTACCAAAAATATAAGTATTCTATCTATATTCATCAACTTAGCAATCATAATACAAGCTCTCCTCAGCTTGAAACTAGATGGCGTTGTGTGTTAGATGTCCGAAATATTAATATTTATTATTATATTTTGCGTCGTAACAACAGACAGTGGCTACAAAGATAAACTCTAATATTTTTTATTGAGTGGGCCATGTTACATTGCATTTTCAAACTTCAGTAGTACACCAATAATAATCATATAAAAAAAACGATACACTATAACAACGCCAATTTAAGTTATTAGATAGAAATAAGTTATTAGATAGAAATTATTGACGTATAAGTGCACCTTTACTATTTATTTCATACCTTTATTCATTACAAAATAGCTGCGCACCAAATTCTAGTAGGCACACATCGTCCTCCTTGACGATGTGTACCTAATAGAATTTGGTGCGCGGTGGTAAATAAAAAGTTTAACAGATCACTTAATTAGCGGATGTTCCCTTAGCAGTGGACAATACTAGTGATCCTTGGGTTAAAAGTATACCCATAACCAAGTTTAGGAAATACAAAGAAGACATAAACGATACTGTGGCTCAATTTTTATTCAGAAATAAGAAAAAATATCAAATACGTTTTAGTACAACCTCGCATTTTTAATAAATATTTTATTAATTTATAACAATTATACTATTATTAGATAATACAGTAACAAGTCGAAAAAAGTCTGTTCTTGTGGCTGTCGTGCGATTTTGGCTTTGCTTGAGTTTTGAATTCGAAGTCTGTTTACACACTATTTGGTATGGCAAGTTATATTAGTAAATAAAACAGTATTATTCTTTCTAACATAAATTTTTATATTACTTTCAATATTATGTACGGTTTTGACTGCTAAAAAGCCCTGTATTACCAACCAGCAAGGTTGACTGAGATAATATTAATAATGAATAATCAATGTTTAAGTGGCGATGAACTTGGCTGCCTGAAGTATTGTATGTTCTTGACTATTGAACCATCGTCATTCAAGCTATTATACATGAATTAATAATATCATAATATATTATGTATAATACAAGTCAAGACACCGCATCAAGTCAGATTCCCTTTTTACAAATGGCTTGATTATTGACAGGTTAATTGGATTGATAGATTTATTGATTAGTATCAGACCAAAACAAGAGTTTTACACTTTCCTTTATTACTTTCAGTTATGTTAATAAGTCAAAATTACACTATATGTTACACCAAACTATTGGGTATATGACGTAACTGGAAAAGTAAGAAACAATTTAAAAAATTAGGAAACAACTGCCTATACGTCTGTTGTTGTCATACAACTGCCTCTACGTATGTTGTTGTCATACAACTGCCATATTGAATAATAAGGAAATATAATCTAATGATATCCCATATCATATTGAGTCATTGATAGATTATGGAGAAATAAAGAAACTCACGGACACTCAATCATACATTCACAAACATTGAAAATATTACACTTTTTTGTTCAGTACTGTCGTAAGAAGCTGTACGATATTTTTTTAATATTTTTATGTAATTTCCAAAGACATTCAGTAAATGGGGTCTAAGCCCTCGGCCGGAGATAAGTAACTAGGTACTCCTAAAGCTACGTATTAAATTAGTATTTAGGTACTCCTAAAGCTACGTATGGCTTTAGGAGTCCCTAAATACTAATTTAAGTACATAATAAGACAAGTGGAAGTTATTGAAAATCGGAAAGAACAATGTAGAGGAATGGAGTGTATGTCAAAATTCACACTGTTTATGTACAATAACTATGTGTATACTAATATAACAAAGCTAGAGATATTTTATTGCTTCTATGTTTAAAGTAATACTCTCTTGAACTACCAGTCAGATTTAAATGATTCTCTCTTTATTGGATTATGTATTTATTGAGTATTGGTTGATTGAACATCACGTTACGACCCTTAGAAACAGAGCAACATAAACGCAGTTGAAACTCAGCTAAACAGCTAATAAAAGACATTCAAAGATTTAGAAAGCTTCATACGCTTCTTCAAAAATGTATGTGTCTACTTAACCTATGAATTTAGAGTATTTACGTAATAAGACATCCTTGGTAATAAGTAATTTAGTCTAAGAAGCAAATGATATTCTAAATAGCTAAGTATTAAAAGATAGTACTGTACTAGCAGCTAAACTACTGCGTACAAATTATACCGCATTAATGAGGACATTAGTTAAAAAATAGTTTCAAGCGAGATTTAAACTGCAATTGAGGGGAACATTAATGTAGGTACTTATTCGGGTTTCTAAACAAAACAACAAACAACAGGAACTCCATAGAAGTCCGTAAATAAAAAAGTGCTCCTCCGAAAGTTCGAGAAAATATTTAACAAATAACACAATATATATAGAATAGGCAAATTAGTAGGTACCAGTATAGTAATAGTATACTAAAAAAAAGACTCGTAAATGAATGTTTAAAATATTAGTGTTTTAGTCATTTCTGGTTTAAATCATTGCCATGTGTCAAATACATTAGTTCTATACAGAAAATAATATTAATATAATTTCTACATTTTGCTATACAAGTATAAAAATGTAAACATTTGGCCACTTAATGAATTTAATATATTATAACGTTTAACGTTTCTTACCTAAGTACATATTTAAAACTATTTGAAATTTAATTTACGGTAGCAAAACCCTTGCTCAATAAAAGTTTTATAACATACATAGGATTTTGAATCCTACCTAGGAATGAATAAAAATATTATTTATTTTTTGAAAGAGTTCTTTGTTTCTCGGCGTGCTGTACCAGCTGTTTGTCAGTGGCTAGCCCCTTCCGTGCTCGTACTGAGTCCATGTAGGCCTTAGCTCGATTAACGCCGTCCCACTTCTCGCCCCAATGTAGGTACTCTTCCTCGGTGCGTGGTTTCCAAAATGGATCGATGTCGATCGTCTGAAAAAGTAGTGGAAACAGATGTAATTTAGGTACATGAAAACAAAATACAGTCATTTAAAGTTGGGAATTATTTTTAGAGTGTATCAAAACAAGTACTACCTAGAATAAGATAGATGGCCTCATCTATCTTATTCTATATAGTACTTGTTTGTACTTGCAAGCGCCTGCTTGCATTTATTTAATATTACAGGACAAGTTTGACGATCTAATCCAATTTCACATTCTAATACCTTTGGTAATTGGTACCTTATAAGGTAATCAGTATTCCTTTGTAATCATATTTATTTTTTACTCAAAACGGTTACCACGTCTATAAAACTAATAGTAGTGCATATTCTCTCTCTGCCTACCTCTGTGTGTGTAAAAGCACGTTATCAAAAAAGTTAGATTTTCCTTGATGTCAGCAGCGCTAAACATATATGGAAAGAGTGTTAATGTAAGAAATATCTATCGCCGCATTTTATTTTAACAATTAAATTATGTTATTGTTATGAGGAATAATTATAAAAAATAATAATATTGATTCTATATTATAATATAGAATCAACCTACTATTTCGTTCTTGTAAGAACAAATTTAATAGTAGGTTTCATCGAGTAGATCTTGAGCGTTACTGAGTGTCTAAGATAATGGCAGATATGACCTGTGCGCCAAAATATTGTTAAAAAATATGAAATATTACGACTATAACACTAACCTCCCAATGACTGAACAACATTTGAGGCGCGGCTAGACCAGAGGTGTTAGTTCTCAGTTCGAGTGCGAATTTGAAGCTCTCAGCAACTGGCATTAAAGCTTGCACTCGGAATGACGCTGAACCGGTCTGCATATCGCTTGCAACGATCCGACCTCCGCGGCGACCTAGAGCTGCGTATAGTTTGCCTGGAAAACAATAAACTCAACATTAGTTTTTTGTCAATTCAGTACTACAATAAATGAATACCGCTAGGCTCCAATTAGAATTCAGTCTGTACTCTAAATTAGAAGAGGGCCGCTCCTTAAGTAAATTTAATGACAATTACTCCAATTACTTGTCCTTTAGTAGAAGAAAAATTAACTTAATTATTATCTTTTTATCTTGTACCTGAGCTTATTAATAATACAATCGTGTGCAAATTTTATTCAAATTTCTTTAGAGTTCCTATTCTTATAAAATAACTTAATTGATACAACATACATACATCAATATTCACTGTCATACTATAAGAACTGCTGTATAAACCCGAGAAACGTAGATAAGTAGTAATTAACAGACTTGTTTAAAGAATAGTCTTGAAAGCATCAGTGGGAATGTACCAACCGACAAAAAACCGCAACTCTGCAGGAAGCCTAAAAAGTTGTAACAGTCCAAAAAAGTTCGCCTCGTGATATCGCCGGGGTCGTTTGACAAATATTCAGTGGTCAGCGGCCTAGAAAAATTCCTTGCTTCTTACAGATTCGACGGGGCCATTTTAAGATGAAAGGGGGACTTCCGGCCATGGGCGTGCATCCGGTTCAATTGGTCACGTCCGCAAGACATCTAGAGAGAACTACGGTCGTATTTGTCCAATAAATAAGGGAGCTTTTTGTAGACACAGACATTTGAGCCCGGGCCTCGCTAAGAATGTTAACGAAAAAATAATAACATTTTGGTAACGGGAAACATACACTAAAATAATTGGCGGGACAGTCGCATTGGAATTTCTACGCGGTCAAGCTTCGCGGTAAAAAGTAACGATTTTGAGCTTGTATGTGAGTACATTGGAATGGAATGTTAGGCTAGTGTCACAGCGATTGATATACAGGTTTGTTTAGCGAAAATTTTGTTAATGATTTGCGCTAATTTACGTCCGAACATATATAAGTATCCACGAAAAAATCGAAAATAAAAACTAAATTATTGGACTATTGGTTTTTAGAATTCATGTTAAGATAAACAGAGTGTGGAAAAAAACATCTGTTAATATTGTTACTGAGCTATCATTAAATTCATTATAAACTCAATAAATAAAAATAGACTTCGTTTTCCTGAACATAAATTTATTGAATTAGAATAGAAAATGTTTTAATGTACACCAATTACAGTAAGTTTGTTAAATATTACAGATGGATATGTACAATCGGCGGCTTTATTGCTAATAGCAATCTCTTACAGGCAACCTTTGGATGGACAAATCGACAGTAGATGAGAAGAAAGAGTGGGTAATCTAGTTGTATTGAAGCTAAAGCTAAAAAATAAATAATTATACATACATACATACACACATACATTCAAATACATATATATTACATATAAATATACAATAATAAGTATAAACAATTTATATTAATAACCATTAGTCATTTACAGTTATAGAAAGCAATTAATTATTTTCTTTCCAAACAAGACTGTAAACGTCACTTGACGTAACAACGCCTTCTACGTATTTCTAAACAGCTGCAAATTTCGCTTATGGGCCAAACCGAAATGCCTTCGAAAACCTCTATAGAGGCGATGAGAAATATGTGACATCAAATATGACAAAAAGTGTACCCGTTAAGAGTTCAAGGGGTTCACATGTACTAACATTTCTTTTAATGTCTTTAATTCTATGTAAGTGCCAAACAAGGTAATGAAGATGCAGTTTAGTCAATAGTCAACGTAAAACAAGTAGATAATATCATTAATAGTTTGTTCTGTACCCAGAATCAATTTCAAGAGCCAGTGACCTGTTAAAATATCACTTTCTATATCCTCAAACAACCACATGCTTCCTGTAAAATGTTTACACATCTTTTCCGAGTTTTTATTTTTATATCGAACGAACACGTATTGCTGGTCCATTACAATAAACAGCCGCTCAATGGTAAGCAATGGTGACCGGTGACGTAACCAAGTGTGGTTGCAATTCGACTCGGCCCAGAGGAGCCCATTTCCTGTGGTTTTCATTCAGTAAATAGTAATTATTCTTTATGAATGGTCGGACGTAGATCGACTGAGAAAGTTATATCTTTGAGTTATGCGCTGTTGATTGAGATAATGGCGAATTTTACGTGGTAAATCGATTTTAGGGTTAATTATGTTTAGACTACATAGATCTGTGAAGGCATTTTTTTGAGGAATATTCAAGCGTTCTTGTAATTAAGTTGTGTTGTGTAAGATCTGTATATCGTGATGATGCAGGTTTTAACAAAACTAAACATGAAACATTTGCTTTACTGTATTGTGTGCATATATGCATATATTATGTCTACAATGGTACTTAATTTTGATCTAAAGTTGCTCTATAGGGATTGGGAAACAGTAAGGTTTTCAGTTTCTCTCTATTTTCCTTAGCATTAAATCTGACAGGTCATCAATCCAATGGCTTTAGTATAACTGCCGGGAACTTGCCAGAATGCAAAAAACATATTAAGTTTTTAATTAAATATTTTTGTGGGATAAAATAGGTTTCTATAATCAAAGTATTTTTTCATCTATGAGGGTACTTTATACTGTTTCCTGTTAAGGTTCTTTTTTCGTTGATGAATTGTCCAAATTGCGTCAAATTGTGACCAAAGTCGTAGGTACAGACAAGGTTCGGCGATATGAGACGAATGTGGAAGACATATGGTTATGTGGTTGCTAAACTATGTCTCGAGAAGCGTGTCTGCATTGGAATGGTACAAGATTGAAGAGGAAAGATTGTCGAATCGCCAATGTTCTTCATTGTTAGAGTTCTGCATAGATTAACCGGATCGGATCGAATCGACACTGACCGAATCCGAGAAAGTTGGAGTGAATTAAATCATAAAATAACCACGAAACCGATACACACCTTATTTTCGGTACGATTCGCTTTAGGTCATTGTTGTGGCAATGGAATTAATAATAGCATCAGTAATACTCGGATAAGTAATAGCGTTGTTCGCTTGCAATTATTATTAATTTTTTGTTACCATACACAATATGGTAAATCATCAACAACCTTTAAGAGTCCACTGCTGGACATAGGCCTCTCTTTAGAAAAGAGGACTTGGCCTACTATGTACTACTACTAATATTGTTTAAAATGGGGTTAACAAAGTAAGAAAACTGCTGTAAGTCCTGCTTTTTGTAAACCAAACCATAAGGCAATTATTAATCGAGATTTTTTAGTTTTACTAATTTGTTATAAATTATCTAATATGTATGGGTATGTTAGACGTCAAGCAAGAATGCATATTCTAAAATGTCTCTGGTTTTTTGCATTATGAATGCATTAGAAAACAGATTTTTATTTAATAAAACTCCTATTGAGTGCTGAATTAGCCAGAATATCTAGTAGCAGTTTTGAGTGCAAAAGTCAAGCCCGTTGAATAATATTTGTTTCGATGAAAAGCTGTAAAAGTCATGTAGCGTCGCTTGACTCTCGCCACTTATAATGCTAGTCACACTGATGTAACATGAGGGTTTTCACAAAAATGTACACACCCACTATTTCAACTGTCCCTTAAATTCAAAATTATATTTTATTGAATTGGTTTATTTGAAAATTTATATGCAATTTTAGAGTGATTATTTACATATACATCTTCAACATAAAATAAATTACGATAGTATAAAACCTACCATAATTAAATTAAAATATTTTAACCATTCGTGACAAATGCATTTCGTTGTGTCCCCTGCTCAATCCCGTCGACAATTAATGGAATGGTCATTTTTTTTTAATGAAAAGCATTCCTTAGTTTTTGCTAATTGCATCTAGCATAATAGATTCTTTTTAATAGTGTCAATAATGTTATTCACTACAAATAAATTATATCTATAAATCATCATCAAAGTTGAATCTAAATTATGGGCCCTTCCGGAACATTCAGTTTTGTGACCTGATTTTTCTATTGAAAAATAGAGATAGTAGTTATTTTTTCTAGTAATTTGGCAACACTAACCTTGATCTACTATCAAATGTTCTTTTAATATTTCGTTAGTGTCAAAAAAGTGCTACAGAAGGAGTGTTCAGTGCACGTCAAGACAAGAACGAATTTTTTATTCAGGTATGTGACCATTTTTGAGTGTTTTTTATAGTAATTTATATAATTGTGTTCAGTATATTCGATTGGTATTTGTATTATTTATAAGTTAGTTTAAAAAGTAGAAAACTATGTATAGTGGTTATTTTTAAAAATAATATTATATACTACAGGATACCAATATGTGACCTCCATTGTGTGACTATTTGAACGGTCACATATAAACGGAACGGAAAGTCACATCATGACTGATCATATAAAGCGCTGTCTACATGGCACCACTGCCGTACTTAGCGAATTTAACTTGTTGAACAAAATACTTTAGCAAGATATGTAAGTATTATGCTTAATGATAAAACTTAAATACTTTTATCTCCATTAATTATTTATATAGTTTTTTTTAAAGGTTACAAATATTATTTAGATAGCACAATACTAGCATTCTTGATAACCCCTCCAGCTAAGCTAACATTGTGCTTAGTGTTAGAGTGAATTTACGGCCGTAGTGTGGGTGGAATTGGAAACCAGAACCTCTTATGAGATCGTAAGACTTTTACCTTATCCATTAAGGTTGCCCGCTTTTTAGTTAGAGATGTATAATTTACTTTTTAGTATTTATTATAATATTAATAATATGTTACAATATAATTAAATATATATTTTTTTATTTTCGTTTCATTGTTTGTATTATTTCTGTTATAAATTCTACAGACTGACTATTATTTTAAAATTAACTAATTTATGGGCTCATTTAAACAATAATATTTTAGGTGTGGCAAGATGCCTCTTACAGAAGCTGAAAAAACTAGGCGCTATAGATAGAAATTAAAGAAGAATATAAAACTCAATGCAATAGAAATTTGCAACGAATGAATACTAAGAAAAAGAAAATATCAGAGATGACTGCCAAAGATGCCGAAGATCAACGGAAAATTGCCTACCTAAATTGCACCTACCGACTATTACTTTATCCAAAATTTAGACAACTTTTTAGTGGGTAAAAAATTCAATTCCCGAGAGGCAGTACAAAATGCCTTTGAAGAGTTTGTTGCCTCCCGTCCAGCTGATTTTTACAAGAAGGGCATCAATAAACTGCCAATGCGTTGGCAAAGATGCGTCGATTGCATGGGTGATTACTTCGAAAAACAGAAATAAAAAAATTTCAAAAAATAAGTACTTTCACTTATTGCATACAAAACGGCAATTTCATAGGTAAAGACCTATTAAAATAATGGTTTTTATTTTAATTCTATTTTTATTTACCCTATCCTATAAATATAAGGTTTGTATATGTATAACATAATAAATATAAAAACTACTTTAAAATATAATTTGCCATTATTCTTAATTATGTGTTCTTACTCGTATGAGTGGCAGGTGGCAAGGTATTGGTACATACTCGTATGTACATATTATACACGAGGGGAAATGGGGCCTCATTAATTTTAACGCGAGCAAAACCGTTGACAAAAGCTAGTTAATAATATGTTGAAAATATGTAACTATAGTAGATTTATAGATCAGGTCAAACTTTGTACTTTCTTAATGTTTCTCGCACCATGTAAACGCATCCTAAGTGTTCAGTTGTGTCACTGTCCTTTATTATTTTTATCAAAGATGTACTTTTTGTTTCTAAAATTATTGTTTAAACATAAGTAAAACACTTTTCCCTCAATAATAATGTGTTAATTCTTCTAATTACAATAGTTTTTTATTCTCACATGCCATATATATTCAGTAGTTTCAATGATTAGCAGGGATGAGGGACCCAAAGTCACACAACTGATGATTTTATTTTATTTTAAGACCCTTGTTTACTATAATTGGATGCAAAATTTGTCTTTTAAGGAATAATGGTCATTTGTTATGTATTTAATTGAAAACTTTTGACAAAATCTTTAATTCTACATTGTTTTTCAACCTTTGAATATAGTCACAAAACTGACTTAAATTTTTAGCACTTTCAGTCATATTTAGTATTTTTCATAATAATCCATTTTAAACAACATGTTTGAGATAATATAAATACAATAAAATTAATATACTTTCAATTGAGACCAAATACAACATTAAAAGTAATACTTTCAAAATAAAGTTATTTTTCAAGGTGTAAGTACATTTTTATGAAAACGCCCACATGCACACGCTCGACTGCAATTTAAGCCTATTTACACACGAAGTGGCCTTGCGATTTCCGGTCAGAATAGAATCACATCACTTCCTGCGGGGGGACTTACGATGTAATTTGAGCATTCTCCGCATAATCATTCATCAGCTGGTTTTTTATAACAAGTTTTACGTTTCTATGACAAGATTGTTACGAAAAAAAATTCATATCAATAATATATGTATAAGGAATTTAAAAATATCTTTGGTGTGATAAGATTTGGTATGATTAAGATATACATATGTAATAGCCCATTCAAATTTAATTTTGACAAAACAGAGATTGTTGCTTTTGTGTGTGTTGTTCTATGACTTTAGAGTCTACATAAAAGACGATTTCAAACAATTAAAAAAAATGAAATAAAGAGAGTTTGAGTAAACTAAAATTTACATACTTCATGAAACAAAATAATAAAGTTTTACAATACGCAAATAAAGTTGATTATTGTTCAACTGTGTTAAGGTTGATATACACTTAAATAGTGTTTATTTATTTTCCAAGGACTGAAATCATGGTAACAACGGTTTCCCGTGACCTTCACCAGGTCGTCGGACAATTTTATGGGAAGATTGGTTAAAATTTGTCAAAATTAAAATTGAATTATTATTGATTAGTAAATGATAAATTATATT